TTTCGAAATTTGGCAACGTTCTAAAGATTATATATCTCTAGCCCTACTGAGTTTATTTTAATAATCTCACCACCATTGGAATCAGAAAGACCAGGAAAACACGTTTTATTAGAACGACAAAGAGATTAACCTATTATAAAATCTCAATCGAATCACTTTTTAATGAAAAAAATAAGAAAAAGGTGACTCAGAAGGTTTCCGAACTAAGTTAACTTCTTTTATCACTCTAAATAAACTTGTTTTCCTGGTTTTTTCAATACTAATGATTAAAATTGACTCAGTAGAGCTGGTGATATAACATCAGCACTGTTTTTATATAATCTTTAGAACATTGCCAAATTTCGAAAGTCCATATCTCCAGTTCTACTGATCAGATTTTAATAATTTCACCATCATTAGAACTGGAAAGGCCAGGAGAACAAGCTTTATTCAAATGATAAAGGATGTTACATTTTTTAAATCAAAAACTTATTATTTTGGTACGTGTCCATAAGATGAAATTTCACATGACCTGTACATGTCTGTAGACTTTCCGGTCTGTAGACTTTCTGTTTTATTTTAACATAAAACATGTGATCTGATACTTTTCATTTCTATTTTCATTTTAAACCATAAAACTATTTAAAAAAAAATTCTTTACAATATTAATGTGATGAAATTCTTTTATACAAATATCCATATTATTGCTATTTTCTTTTTCGCTATTATTATTATTATTATTATTATTATTTAACTTTGGCATATCTTTATTAAGTTTAAGCATATGTATATGAATACATATTACACTACTTAAATTATAGATCTGACATCTTCCGGCTGGCTCTACGGGCGCCCAGGAGCAATCTGCCGTATCGGTTAAGACAAAACCCATACTAGAGGGCTGTACCAAGCTAGCCAGTAAGACTATACTAAAATGATCTTACTTTGTTTTAAATAAACTTTTTTATAGAACCAAAATCAAATTTCTTGTTCTTTTTGTTTTTCACCTCTTTTTTTTTTTCTACTCCTTTCTTTTTAACTTTTCTTTTACGATATTATTACCTTTATTGTTATTATTTTTTTCGCTATTATCAATTTTATAGTCGCTTTTTTCCTTGTTATCATCATCCTTATTGTTATCATTTCTATTATTTGAGTTAAAGTATTCTTTATTAACAATAAATAAAAATGTATAAGACATTAAGTATTCTTCAATTGCATTTTCATCATTATCAATTTCAATTATTATTGAATTATTTGTTACTTCAATGGCCTCTTCTAAACTCTTGTAATGCTTTCAAAGTGTCAAAACTTGAAGAATTAATTCTTTTATTTATCATTTCAAAATAATTTAATTTTAGAAATAGTGAAAAAAAATAAGAATTTAATTACCGATAAGTTATCTACAGTAGGTCTCAATGCCTAACTGGTAACTGTTATAAGTTGCGGCCTGAGGTATGCTTCTATTGTCTTCAACTTCCGGTTAAAGAGTTGCGCAGTATTTGTTTTTTTTTTTAAAAAAAAAAAAACAATAAATTTTGCTTAGAAATGTGAAAAGCATAAGAAAAGTGAATGCATATTGTTTTGATTTGCATCATTATGACGAATTTATGAAATTAAAATATTTTGACTAACTATGAAGTGCGTCATTTACTATTTGTTTTTTTGACATTTCTTATTGTAAAATCATATAGATAACGTCTAACCCATCTTCCCGTGAAAAGATGGGTTAGACGCTATCTATATGATTTTACCATGAGAAATGTCAAAAACCAAATAGGAAATGAGCACTTCATAGTTAGTCAAAATAATTTCATAAATTCGTCATTGTGATATCAAAACGTGATTGTTGACCAATCAAATCAAATAATATATGAATAACATCATATTACACAACCACGTAAATAGAGATTGCTTAACGTTAAGGCAGAGTGTACTTATATAATTTTAATTAATTCAAATTAAGGTTTGCTTTTATTAGGGTTAAAGGTGATGACATATTCTATAAATAAAATCATCTCCTTGACATTTTTTTATTAGTGTACCAAGATAGGTTTAGGCATTAGTTTTCTTGTATGTTTCATTTTTTTCACATTTTTCTTCGTCGGGCTGATCCATGTCATTTTTTCACATTTTTCTTCGTCGGGTTGATCCATGTTGATCAAAAAAAAAACCAAGTTGATTGACTGTATATCAATTGCACACTGTTTTAAACAACACGTAAATATGCATGTACTTGTTACATTAAATACGAATATGAATATAGACAAAAACATGAAATTTGTAAATTACATTTTTGATGTGACAATATAAGACAACTAATGATTTAACCAAAAACATAACTACAATATTGATGCATCAAAAACGTAACCTTTGTATCACCATGAATGTTCTCTGCTACGCTCCGGACAATTATCTTTTCAATTTTACAGGAGGATTTCTGAGTCGAATCCATCCGATTTAGATCGGCATTTAGCAATACGCAACCATTTCTAGACCAAAATTATCAGCTGGGCAGTGTTCCACACAGACAGAATCGAGCGAATATTTTTAAAAATTTGGATCCGATCCAAAGTACGAATCGAATCCAAGTTAGGATTCAAAACCGTATCATGTAGATCCCGAATCCAACCATATTCGTGAAAGATCTCTTTTCGACAGTTTGCTCTTGTTCAAATGTGTTTATTGAAAAAAATAAAAAACGCCCTGGTTCAAATATATTTATTGAAAAAAAGCAGATCCTGTTTAATTAAAAAAATCGCCCTGATTCAAATGGATTTAATGAAAAATCTTTCTAAAAAATTCAAATTGATGATAAATCAATATATTAAAAAGACGGCCAAGCAGGAGTATGCCAGGGGCAAACGGTCAGGCCTTGAAACGCAGCCATTAATTCTAATCACTATGTGAGAAAGCATATGAAGCATAATTTAATTAACTAATTTCTATAACGATAATAACCTCATTGTTAGTACCAAGTATAAAAATAGGCCCACCATCCACAAGAAGCAAGATTCAAACTCGAATCCTCCTACTTCACGCGTAATCCATCAAAATCGTACTGATGTATGCTGCATATTCACAATAAAAATCATCCAAAAAGGTTTAAGTATCTGGCATTATGTTTTTCAAAAAAAAATAAAAATAAATAAATAAACGCATTCATGTCATCTTGATCACAAGAAATCAAACGTAGCTTAGCATCCGAATCGAATATTATCTGATCGAATTTCTATTGGATTCGGATTCGCAGGATTCGTAAATTATGAGATTCGAAATGGATTCGTCGAATTGAATTCGAATCGAATCCGAATCTCGAAACGTTTCGAATGGTACATACGTACGTACGTACCAAAAATTATGTAGATCCGAACATAAGAATTTTGGTAGTGAAGATTGTACAGGGGGAGGTGCTTATTTTCGGAGGAATACAAATTGTTACATAAAAAATTTTCCAAATAAAACACAGTAAAAAGCAGTTACCTGGAAATGTAAGTACGTACGGACGTATGTATGTACATTTGTACATTGTAAGCTTAGTATAGACTACGTACGTACGTATTAGAATACATAAGCAAAAACTATATATATATATATATATATATATATATATTGAAATTAACTACATATGGATTTGGTACTATTTTTTTATCTCATACAGATCATCCATACAAATACAAATTTTAATGTTAAATGTTTAATTACCCCAATTTAACGTTTTGTAAATTAACAAATTTTTAATAATAAAAAAATATATATTGTTTTAAAACAAAGATCATAATTTATTTTTTTACCAATAAAAATAATAAAATTTAATGAAAAAATAGCGATCATTTAAATTACCAAAATCATAGCAAATAAATGATAGGCAAAGAAACATTAAAAAATAGAATTTTTTAATAAGTTAACAAATATTAAATAAACATATGGCATATTCATAACAAATATTTTATTCATAAATATAATCCATTTTATGATAAAAAAAGGAAAACAACGAAAAGAACTAATTTATATAATTTATATGTTTCAGTTACTTATATATATAGTGAACAAAGTGTTTAGTAATATAACATAAAACTGACCCGAAATTCAAAGTATATACATGCAATGCTAGGTTAGGAACGATCTTTGAGGATCACGATCATTTCCGATTCAG